TGTAGCCACTACGTCGGATGAACCCATGATTCAGGCAACCCCACATCTTTCTTATTTTTTCTCATATAGTCATACCCCATATTGCAACTAGTGCATGCTTACATTGGATGCCAATGAGTTCCTATTTCTTACAAGAACAAGTATGTTGAACCATGTCAACAACACACTAGTCCATCCACGGTCCAGTGAATTAATATTTACCATTCCCACAAAAAAACACAATTACACTATGATGCCTCATTTTTTATTTTTTCCAAGACACTTGTTGCAGATGGAGTCAAGCTTTCATAGTCCTCGTTTGTAGACATACATGTTTTTTTCATACGTACGAACCTCCCAATCTACATTGTTACTCCACTTGCTTGTATATATGACCCATGGGCATTTCCTTTCTTCACCAGACCAACACCTACTTCAATAAGGTCTGGTATACTACCTTCACAAAAGGCCCTTACCCTATTTTTGTCATTTTTAATTATCTCAATCTCTCTTCTAGTCTCGACAACGTGTTGTTTTATTCTATTTTTCAACTCTTCAGACAAACCAAAAGTCTGATACACATAAAAGGGATCAGTAACACGCGCTTCACTGTTTTCTTGTGCCTTTCGTATTGCTTTAATTGACTTTCTTCTACATTTATTCCCCTCTCATCAGTATTGTCATTGTTAAGCACCTCAATTTCTTCATCTTCCTTGCTATCTTCTACATTCACACTTTGTAACGCCCGTGTTTCTAGGCTAGGCATTAATATTGACGTGATAGTCTAGGTTAACCTTTGTAACTCATTTTGAAGAAATGAAAAGCAATTATGTGAATATTATGTGTTTTATGCTTAATTATTAGGGTTTAATTAATTAAGAATAAAAATGAGCGTCGAAAATAAATATTAGATAAAGCCCATATCTATTAATAAAGTTGTAGTGGTCGTGACAAGGATTACGGATATATAAAGAATACCGAAATCCGAGTTATAACGAAGAAGTTATGACCTGTCGGAGTTTCGCGACGGCGCTGGCTATTAGAGGCGTAGTATAGGGTAAACTTGAACCTCTGTGTAATCGTTTCAGGGAAATAATATAAACCCTGGTTTTGTCATCTGATGAATTGAATGACTATGTGAAATTCTTGTATGGTGATTTGGAGAACTGCGAGACAATACTTGGGACGAGTATGAGTAGGTGTGAATGGTAGTAGAGGCCTATACTACCGGAAGCACATGACTCGTACTTGGATCAAGGAAAGTCACAAGGTTACCAAGGAGCTAGTAATTGATTCCGTCTTGGTCTAGTCTGTCGTTACCATCGTTTCGGTAATGACTAAGAAGCTAATTGTTATTCCGACCTTAGAGGTCATATCGAATCGAGTCCGACTAAGATAAGTATGTCACTTGGTTCAGAGAACCAAGTTCGATGTAGCATTTGACTTAATCCAGAAGATTGAAGTGAAAGATGATCAAAGCGATCTATAGAAGTATCACACTCATTGTTAAAGAAGTTGGTAGTTAGAAATGATACATGTTGAACTGTGATTGTATCATATTAGAACATGAAGGAAGGTATAGTTTGTTCTGAAATTTGTCTCTAAGAGACCTAAGTCTAAGTAGTGCATTATACGATGAGAGATCATTAGAACATGACCCATCGGTCTGTTACAATAAATGAAGGAAAGTACTTATTCTAAGAAGAAGAAGGAGTCCTCAATAAGGATTTATTTTGTAACTTGAAGGTTACAATTGAAAGTCCTACGGAGATCTGAAGCTTTTTAGGATTCGTCGGATATTATCGAAGACTTATCCAAGGCTTTTCTTCGATCGCGACTCCATTAACAACTTTGACCCACAAATGAGTTATTTATACTTGGAATGAGAAGCATAAGGAAGCTTTTGAGAAGTTAAAGAAGAAGTCGTGTGAAGCACCGATTCTTTCGTTACCTGAAGGAGTTGATGACTTCACAGTTTATAGTGATGCCTCTGGAGTAAGGTTAGGTTGTGTTCTGACCCAAAGGGATAAAGTGATAGCGTATGCATAGAGACAATTGAAAGAGCATGAAAAGAACTACCCCACTCATGATCTGGATTTGGCAGTGGTAGTATTCGCCTTAAAGATATGGAGGCACTATCTTTTTGGTACTAAATGCAAACTTTTCACTTATCATAAGAGTCTTCAATATCTCTTTAATCAGAAGGAATTGAACATGAGGCAACGACGCTGGCTAGAGTTACTCAAGGACTACGACTGTGAGATACTTTACCACCCTGGTAAAGCAAATGTTGTTGCTGATGCTCTCAGTCGGAAGGTAAATCTTGAAAAGAAAAGGCCAAGAGCGTTGAGGATTGAAGTTGTCTCGACAATTGTGGAAAGTATAACGAAAGCTCAAGAGGAAGCTTTAGAGAAAAATGATCGAAAGGAAGAACGTTTGGGGCAAAATGTTAGTGTTCGATACAAACGGTCAAGGACTGAAGGTATTCAAAGATAGGATTTGGGTGCCTAAGACGGGAGGAGTAAGAGATCTTCTGATGGAAGAAGCTCACAAGACCATGTACTCGATTCATCCCGACAGTAGAAAAATGTATAGGGATCTAAAACCCTATTACTGGTGGCCGACGATGAAGCTCGATGTTGCTAAGTATGTGGCCGAGTGTGTAACATGTGCTAGGGTTAAGGCACAACATCAGAAACTGTATGGGAGTTTAGAACCTTTGCCTATACCCATGGGTAAATGGGAAGACATCACCATGGATTTTGTCGCTAAACTGCCCAGAACAAGGAACAGTCACGGCATGATTTGGGTGGTCGTTGATCGCTTCACTAAGAGTGCGCATTTCATAGCAGCCAACGAGAAATGGTCTATGGATAAACTTGCGAATTCTTACGTGAAGGAAATTATGAGGCTTCACGGTGTTCCGTTAACGATTGTATCCGGTCGTGACAGCCGTTTTACCTCAAGGTTTTGGAGGAGTCTACAATAGGAATTGGGTACCAAGTTGTGTTTGAGTACAACTTACCATCCGCAAACTGATGGTTAGAGCGAACGAACAATTCAAACGTTAGAGGATATGCTGAGAGCATGTACCCTGGAATTCCAAGGTAACTGGGATGAACACTTACCTCTAGTAGAATTTTCCTATAATAATAGTTTCCACTCGAGCATTAAGATGGCACCTTATCACGCTTTGTATGGAGAAAAGTGTCAAACGTCGTCATGTTGGCTGGAAGCTGGGGAAAAGCAGTTTATGGGACCCGAAATAGTCCATCAGACTGCTGAAAAGTTGAAAGTGATTAGGGAAAGGATGTTAGCAGCTCAAGATCGACAAAAGAGTTATGCTGACAAGAAATGACAACCGATATCATTCGAAGTTGGAGATTCGGTCTTACTTAAAGTCTCGCTGTGGAAGGGACTTATAAGATTTGGTAAAAGGGGAAAATTGAGTCCAGGGTTTATTGGACCGTTTAAAGTTCTTCAGAGGGTCGGGAATCAAGCTTACAAGCTAGAAATACTGGAAGAACTGGAGGGTATTCATAATACCTTTCATGTGTGTTATTTGAGAAAGTTCACGGGATATGTGCCCGACATAATTCCCATTTCTGAATTAAGGGTGGATGAAAACAAGAGGTTAATTGAAGAACCTGAGGCAATCGTTGACCGTACGACTAAGAAGCTGCGACGCAAGATGGTCGATTTAGTGCTTGTGCGTTGGAAACATACGAATGGGCCAAATCTCACCTGGGAAACGGAGAGTGACATGATGAGTCGCTACCCGCAGTTGTTTGTTGATGTGTGATTCCGGGGACGGAATCATCCTAAGGGGGAGAGAATTGTAACGCCCGTGTTTCTAGGCTAGGCATTAATATTGCCGTGATAGTCTAGGTTAACCTTTGTAACTCATTTTGAAGAAATGAAAAGGAATTATGTGAATATTATGTGTTTTATGCTTAATTATTAGGGTTTAATTAATTAAGAATAAAAATGAGTGTCGAAAATAAATATTAGATAAAGCCGATATCTATTAAGAAAGTTGTAGTGGTCGTGACAAGGATTACAGATATATAAAGAATACCGAAATCCGAGTTATAACGAAGAAGTTATGACCTGTCGAAGTTTCGCGACAAAACCGGCACGGTGCCGAATGACGTAAAAAGTGAGTTTTTGATAAACTACTTTTTAGCCTTAGTGGTCTAAACGAAAGTCGTATTGTTCGTTAAACCGAGAGTATGTATAAAAAAGAGCGCCCAAATCTGACTTCGTATGAGGAAGTTATGATTTTTCTAAGTTTCAACTTAGCAGTAGACAACTAAAAACTCGAATTTTAGATCGAATGATTTTTAGCCGACACAATCTAAACGAGAATCGAAGGTCTCGTCCATAGTAGTACAACGGTAAAAAGACAGACGAAAACGGACGTCGGATGAAGAAGTTATGAATTTTTAACGGATTTCCTGTCCCGGTCTGTTAAAAATAATAATATAAAAATTAACGTCAAAATTAGCCGACGAAGTCTAAACGAAAGTTGTAGAGCGTAATTTTACCTACGCGTGCATATAAAGAACGTAAAAAACGGAGCCCGTATGCGAAAGTTATGGATTTTAGAAGTTTTTTGCACAAAAATCGAGAAAAAATGTCAAATCATGGACCAAGGATGTCCATCATTTTGTCAATATCATGGACCGAGAACTCGTCAATGTCCACTAAATCAACATACTTTTCTTTTCCTTTTATATATCCCCTTCCAGGAAACTTTGTAAAAACTCCATTATAAAACAATTTAATCGAGAATATTGACGGGTTACCACCTGCGAAGAAGGAGATTGAAGCTTAGGTTTTGAAACTTTGTGCTTTAGATGAGAGTATTAAACACAAAAAATACTTACTGTAAACTCGTCCAACGTCTATTTCCGCCATGTCTGCTCAAATCCTCCACCCCACCATTGTTGCCTTTGCGAAATGTTGATTGAAATTGAATAGATTAGGGTTTTATACGTGGTTTAGTTGAGAGCACTGATATGTTTGACGTAAATGAGAACGATGGCCGAGAAGATATAAGAAACATTTGGCATATCCATTCAGGCGCCATGTGTAAAAGGACGAATATACCCTGAGCGTGCCAGACACGTGATATATTTAACAGAGATGAGTGACGGAAAACATCAATAGGGATCAGACACGTAATAAAATGAAACCTTGAGTCTGTTATGAGTGCAAAAAAAAAGTTAAGGACTAAACACATAATTTTACCTAAACCACAGGGACCATTTAAGTAATCTACTCAAAGGATAACACATTAATTACTCAAAAGATAACACATAAAACAATGTGATTGCCATACTCTTTAGGCCAAATTTTAGTAATCGGGGAGAGGGACCCAAAAAGATAAAAACACGGAGTAAATACTAAATAGGGAGAGAAGGTACGGAAACAAGAACCCTAACCATAACCATAGATAGTTGGATACATCATCATACAACCCTTTTTCCTAAATCTCAAGACTTCACTCCTCGTATCAGGATTCTTTCCTTTCCCTTCCCGTAAAACAAGTCAAGTTTCTGCGGCGGAATCACCAGGGTTAGGCCTCAACGGACATCTTTCTCCGAAGATTGGGGGAGCATTTTCAGGTAATCAATCGGAGAAACACGGTAATGTTTTTCTTTTGGCATCCTTGTTACACCAGGGAACATGATCAGTTTTGATTATCAAAATGTTCCTGGATAAATTTATAGACGTGTAGTGTAAACTTCGATTTCCCATACTTGATTGCACGAAATTCAATTATGAACATGATGCACTTTCAGATTTAGGCACAAATAAATTCTCACAAGTTCCAAAAAAGTGGCGCAATACGAGTATCAAATTGGAGTTCAGTTTCCAACTGACCAACTCAAGTCAGTTGGAAAGAAGTTTGTCTTGATTTTCTTGGATAGGTTTTACGTGATTTTGCAATATGCAAACTTGGAAAGAAGCTTACTAGATTGGATGTGTTATTGATTGCAGATGAGCTACTCACTGGATCAGAATTCCACAGATTATCGTAAGTTCCACTTTGTCTAATCCTCCATTAGCTAAGTTTATTGCCCTAAATTCTAACTATAAGGTAGAATTCGAAACCACAAGTTCAGTGTTCTTCTAGGACACAAGGCTTGGAATCTCAAATATAGTGCACGGATCATCATCATCATCATCATTATTATTATACTTGCACTATTTAAGCAAATTACATTTGTAAGAAGATGAAAATGTAGCTTTTTTGGAATAGAGGAACATTATTAGTTCTTGAGATAGGGAATTCATCTCTAATTTATATATAATCAAAGACTTTATTTGCATCCCGTTCAATCATGTGTTGGGGTCTTTCTTTTTGGTTTTTCAGAGCATGGAAGCAGAGGTGTGGAGGTATTTGTTGGGGGTTTGGCTCGTTCTCTGAATGAAGACAAGGTTCGAAAGGTATTTGCTGCTTGTGGAGAAATTACAGACATGCGCTTGATAAAGGATCAAAATGGCATCCTAAAGGTCTTCCATTATTTCTCATTACTCATTATCTGTTTCTCTCTTTTAAAACTCGCACATCTCTTTATATGCACAAATATATAGGGATTCGGCTTTGTACGCTTTGCAACAAAAGAAGCTGCTGACAAAGCTCTGAAAGAGTTATCTGGATCTATGGTACAGAAAATATTCTTCTTATTTTCATATATTTCATGCAATCCCATAGGGTATAGATAATATATACTTCCTCAAGTTTGTACTCTTTGATTAGGTAAACTGAAAAAATTTAGAATTTTATAAATTCACTATTTTGGCCTTTATTTTCCAGCTAGAAGGTAAAAAGATTGGTGTTCTTCCATCAGCTGCACAGGATACATTATTTTTAGGAAACCTTAACAAAGGTTAGTTATAACTTTTAATAACCTCTTCATTACAATCTCAGTCTTTCAGTTCCCTTTATTTTAGTTATTTTCTTCATTTAGGGTGGAGTGCTGATGATTTTAATAAAGTTGTGCGCCAGGTAAACTTTTATATATATATATATATATATATATATATATATATATTTGTTTTTATTTATATATTAACTATATATAACTGTTCTTTATGGTATATAGGTTTTTCCAGATGTTGTTTCCATTGATCTTGCAATGCCCCAAAGTGGTAGTGAGACAACAAGCAAAAAATTTAAAAATCGTGGTTTTGCTTTTGTGAAGTTCTCATCTCATGCTGTAAGTCATTTTTTTTAACAAAAATATCAACCATTTTATTTTACTCACTTTATTATATTGTTTTAATATTTCTACTCTTTTAAAAAAAAAAAAAAAAATTCTCAGACTGCAGCACGTGCGTTTAGGGCTGGATCACAGCCAGATTTTGTTCTTGGTGGTACTTTACATCCATCTGTTCAATGGGTTGAAGAGGATCCTGAAGTAGATCCGGATGAACTTGCTAAGGTGTTCATTGATCACACTAATTTAAAATTCATGATTATTCTGAATTATCTGTTGTTAAATGATTTTTTTTTTTTTATTTCCAGATAAAAATAGCATTCGTTAGAAAACTACCCTCAACTATCGACGAAGACTACTTAAAGAAACTCTTCATGCCTTTTGGGAAGGTAGAGAAAGTGGTGGTGTCCAGCAAGGGAGATTCTTCAGTTGGATTTGTTCATTTTTCTCAAAGATCAGTAAGTCGCTTAATTTTTTCATTTTTAGTATGTATATTAAATATTTTGATTTCTAAATTTTGTTTCCACATGTAGCACCTTGATAATGCCATAGAGGGACTAAATGAAAAAATAGTTCCAGGCCCAAAAGGTGGGCCATCAGTTAAACTTCAGGTACCATAAAATTACTCTTACCTTTTTTATTATTTTTATCCAGAACATATCTGAAATTTTTTTAATTATCAACACCTGTGTACTAGGTTGAAGTTGCAAGACCTATGGACAAAAAAAGAAAAAGGGTTCATGAAGATTTTCATAACACTCAGCCCCTTGATAATTTGAATAAACCCAGGCCACAAAATCACGACCCATACTTGAATTCATTTGATGGTCATGAAGGGACTCTTCAAAAGGTTTTTTTAATTTTGATGTCTTTTATTTTTATAATATTCAGCTTTTATATTTTATGTAATTTCTATATCTTTCCTATCATTTAGGAAGCTGTTGATCCCCATGAAGCTGCTGTTCTTTTGTTACCAGTAGCTGTCAGAGAGCGGTTACTTCGAATTTTACGCCTCGGTATTGCCACTCGATTCGATGTACGTTCCATATTTATTTATTATATATATATATATATATATATATATATATATATATATATATATATATATATATATGTTCAAAAAGTTGACCTTTTTCTCTTGATTTGTCCTTAAACAGATCGAAGTTGAATCCCTATCTAATCTAGCAGAATTACCTGAATCCATGGCCATATCAGTTCTTGATCAGGTTAAGTATATCTTTAATTCTGTATCTACACAAAAAAAAAAAAAAAAAGGTTCACTTTCAGTCGTTCATAAATTGATCATGTTACACGTTTCTCTACAGTTCATGTTATCAGGAGCAGAAAAACATGACAAAGGAGGCTATCTTGCAGCCCTAATTTCTAGGGTATGCTATTAGTTTTTCCTGTTTAAACTATTATTAGTTTATGACCAGATAAACATAATTTTTTTATTTTATAATTATATAAACAGTACCAGGTGGACAAATTTGGAGCCAATCAACAACCTTCAAGTTTATCAAGATTAAGAGAACCAGTAAGGGCCCACCTTCCATCTGTTGACTCTCTTCCCTATGCTGACCCAAGGTTCGTTTTATTATAATTATAAATATATATATAAATAAAATTATCAGATGAATAATAATATTTATAAAGTACATTGCTATTATGGGTTAAAAAAGTTGAGTGTACAATGCAGCAGCAGGGGTGACAGTTATACATCCCGTTATTCTACATTATATTCAGATTATCGTCTACCGAGTCGACCGGGTATGGTAAAAACAGAAGACAGAAGTCCTATACAGTTACATGAATTGCCTGGTTCTTCTTCTTATGGTAAATATTTAGTAAACTCACATATTCCAACAGCTTATGGAAACATGGAGGAAATGAGCCCGGTCCAATCCCACCAAATCCCGGGCCCATCTTTTGCAAAATCTTCACAAGATCCATACAACAGAATACTGGGCCCTACCCCGACTTTATCTTTTTCAAAAACTGGGCCGAGCCCGGATCCTCAAATTAATGATAGGCCAGGAAGTAGGCCACAAATGAGATTTGACCCGTTTACGGGTCAACCGTATAAGTTTGACCCGTTTACGGGTGAGCCGATTGTTCCGGAAAGTTTGGCCCGTCGTTATGACAGCCCGTATTGATGGGGAGATGTCATTTGATGGGTTGTTTATGGTCTGTTAGATTTTACAGCAGAATTAAGCAATGCAATGTACATTAATGGATCTTGTTCATCATTCTTGCGACTTGTCTTGTTAATGTTATCAAAGGGATCGGTCATAAAAATGGGGGGAATGCATGAATATTGGTTTATTACCTAATGTCTATGAGTAAGATTAGCTGTAACATTGTAATTTGAATGTTTTTGTTTAATGATAAATCATAATTCTTTGCGGAAAAGATAATGTTACGGATATGAGTCATATGACTTAGGAGAATGAATAAGTACCTATATTATGTATTGATGATTGATGTTGGTTTTTATGCCTTTAACTGGGTCTTAACCAGTCATGGGCCAGCGCCGATATCCATTACTGGGCCTAGTGTAACCTGTCTTCTAACCGGGCCTTAATCAGGCACAGTTTAGCGGTTTCTCCACTTAAGACAAATTGTTCGAAATGGTCCGGTTCTTTTTTGAAACGGTCTGTTTCTGTTCGATCTTTTTTCAAACCGATCCTTTGATGTTTTAGGATAAAAGATAAATTTAGACAAATATTCACTATTTGGCAGCCCTTCTTACAAAATGGGTATTATGATTGTAAAATGGGCTGGATTGGTCACCTATTTAAAACCTTAAACTAGTTTTTCTGTATTTTTCAATCTTTTATTTTTGTACCGGAACTAAAAACGCTATGAAATTTTCTATTGTTTGATATTTTAGCATAGATTTATAGCATCTTCACAACAAAGATTAGGGAAACATTCTATTGTTTGGTATTTTTTCACAAGTCAAATCTGTAAAACACTATATTTCCGCTGGAAAAATATAGTATTTTTTAGGCGTTCTTTTGATTATTTGTGTTTCCTGTCATTCTCAATTTTGAACCCACGTGTGTTTGGGATTGAGCTTCTCATTAAGTTGTTTGAGAATAGCTTCTTATTAAATTGTTTGAGAATAGCTTCAGATGATTTTAAGTTTTGATTTTTTTAAATGAAGTTAAATATGAAAATTAAGGATTTTATATATAAAAAATTGTGGTCTTTTTATATTTCGCATGGAGTTTTTCACGAAGTTTTAGAGACTGTCTGTCTGTTTAGAAAAAAAACCTCTTCAGATCATTTTGCTACGTGGCGCGCCACACGCACAACACTTGTTATTTCCCAGTTGTTTGTTTTTCGGAAGACTTCAGACTACAAAACATCTACGCATGTTCTGCACAACGCAACACTTGACTTGCCTCTTCAAACCTCTTTAGCTTTCATGTTTTCCAAGTGTTTTAATAATATTTTCAGTTTCGGTTGCATTTTTTTTAACATGTCTGATTTTCTACGAATTTTCTAGACATTGTTTGCAATAGTTTCTTAATTTTTTTATAACTTTTTTTTTCTTTAAAATTAGTTTTTTCTAGAAAAAAACTGATAGATTTTTTTATATTTTTTTTAGAAATTATATATTTTTGTTTTTTTACATGTTCTTTTTAGTATTCTTTCAATGTTTTAATACTAGAATTATTAAAATTTCGGTGTTAAGAATTATTTTCAGTTTGTAAAATCAGTTTATTTAAATTTCATTTTGTTGTAGCAGTCTGTAAATGTTACAAAACAAACAAGCTTCTTATTATAGACTGCAACCGTTTAGTCTACCTCTTCTGCTGTAAAGGGTTGCAAAGATGGTCCGCAGATTTCATGAATTTCGCTTCTGAAAAACAAACAACACCTTAAACAACACCAAACATACTGCAAAAATGACACAAAACGACATCCTTTAGCAATTTTGCAATACTTTTGATATTTTCATAGGGGTCTATGCATAAATTGTAGTTATTTGGGTATTTGGTTTATTTTTCTAAATCTTACAGGTTTCTAAGTTTATCTATTTTTTTTCTAAGACAATTATTAAAAACCATATTGATGACAATTCTTTTAAGTCATATTCGTCTTCGTCTTATATATTTCCTTTTTATTATATACTCTTTTATATAATCGTCTCCGTCTTACACATTTTTATGACCCATCTTTGTATAAAATATTTATAAAAAAATAAATAAAAGCATCATCATCCTCTAAATTGTCTTTCTTGGCCGTGGGATCTTAGAGTATTAATAAGCCATGTGCTGCTTCTTCTTCTTGTGTCTTATTCTATGTTCTCAGGACCCTCAAGCCAACACATGATGTATATGTTTTGTTTCATCCCAATAACATTTGGAAATATGGAAGCCTCCAGCCCTCCATAGATAGCGTTGTTAGTTTTGTTTTTTATGACAACTGCATATTCTGAAGCTAACGTAGTAAATTAGAGCAATGACAAACACAATTGGAAATTCCTTTATGTACTATGTGATAATTATAGTTCAACGCATATTGGAAATTGTTGGTCTTTTTCACTCCACCATGCCGAAATATAAAGATTTTCACTTTCGTCAATACCATAAACATAAAATAAGTTTATATATAGTTTCCTAATTCGGTAATAGATGATGTGGTATGTAATGGTTTACTAAATTTGTTAACTTAGGTAATAAAAAGTTGTATGATAGTACTTGATGTACTAGCACCATCACTTAAAATTATGTTTTTGGGCACCATAGACTTGACCTAGTTTTGTATTCGTGTAAATTGGTCTTTATTAGGTAAATGTGTTTGAGTTTCTGTTACTTACCCCATAAACTCATTCCATAAACTCTTCTCAAGACCTTACACACTACCTTCGGTATTGTATCCATGACTTGTGCATTAAACCTCATAAACAATCACAACAGCAAACACTATTATCATTTAAAATTGTCTCATATATTTATTTATGTGTGACAAACAACTCTACATTACAACATTACTACAAAGAAATGAAGAGTTGATACAACTCATTTCAAGTTTCATCGACAATTACATGTCATTCATTTTTAATGTGACAATAAGGTCTAATTTGAAACCGTATAAATAATTCTTGGGTTGACATTTTGTTTCGGCTTTAAAAAATCGTTTTTTTTTTTTTGCTAAAAGATGTTATTCTTTAGGTAAAAAATAGTTATTTATAACAGAAGTTTACATATTAAAAAAGTAAATGTTATAACATCTCAAAAACATTATACTATCAACTTAAAAACATGGACTTTTACTTAATTTTGACATATATATATATATATATATATATATATATATATATATATATATATATATATATATGAATTAAAACGCGAAACCTCTAATTTTTTAAACACATATCCCATACGGGATCGATGCCCCACAAGAGTTTTTGGCATCTCTAATTCTAACAGCCTTCTCTAATGCACGGTGAGTGGTGACTAGACATTCATACGGTTAAGTAATAACTACATGTTACTATTTTTGTTGTGGGGATTCGCTGATGTCGTAGGAGTAAGAAACAATGTCTAACAACTCGTTTGAGTACTTAAGCTAAATACCAAGCTCTAGTCGACATTACTCGAGAACTATTTTGGCTTTTGGTTGGGTGCTCCTAATGCATCTCCTACATCAACATGTTATTCACACAGCCTACAATGATGTATTTCATGACAAATAGTCAAAATATGATCATTCATTTTCTGATTCATGACCGATTGAATACCACACACAACTCACCACACATTTGGATTATCATATTACAAGATTCGTGATATCAAGACGATTGTAAGGTCGAACTTATGCATAATGACATGGACAGTGAATAGACACGATCTAGTACCATATCCAGGATTTGATTATTTTCATATCCTATATTCTCTCCGTTTTTCTAACAAATTAGATAATATAAAATTTAACATCTATATACAAACAAAAAAACCTCAATATCAATGTGACTCAAACTCCTTTTTTTATATATTTTAAGCTTAATTACTTTCCCATTCAAAGTGGGGATGAGTTTAAAACTGAAGCGGTCTTAGATTCTAGGGAAAATGACGTATAGGCCCTATAATGTTTTTAGGGTTTTCCTATTTAGCCACTTAATTTATTTTGTGGTTTAAAAAGGGAACGAAGTATTTGTTACCTATCAATATAATCCCTTTCACCTATTGTAGCCGGTATACGTTGCCACATAAACCTATCCTAACACGTAAGCGATGACATGGCAAGAATTTAAAGCGTCGAACTACCGCAACGACGTCGTATTGAAGGCGAATCGTAAGGAGCAAGGATCGACTGTTCAAGCGCCTCCATATAAAATCAAGACTTCCTTGACCTAAAATGGCACATCTGCAAACTTCATTACCCCAATCTCGTCTCTAAGTTTACTCCAAAATGCCTTCGATCGCACATGCAAAACACAGCTGGTCTCCAAACTACCGTCGTCACATGGATGAGAATCATTCGAATGGTGTAACCAACGAAGACATGGCCATCAATCTACTGCAAACCCAGTTGGAACTGTCTCTTATACGGGAGGACTTCCAAGACCAGTTGCGTGAGCTCCGTCAGGCAATTAATCGACACTTGGATGCCATGAACCTTGAGGTCGATGACGTTCGCGCTGGTGAGTTGGATATCTCAAATATGGTTACTGATCTTAAAAATCATTTCGTTTCTCTGCAAGGAGCATATGTGAAGATGGTCTTCCAGCACAACAAACGTAAGAAGCTGAAGTATTGTATTGGGATTGTTGGTTTTGTTACTGTGTCTGTGGTGACGTATATGTTCTTTAAGTAAAAAAAGTTGTGTAGGTTGAAGCATTTCAGTCCTGGGTTTGTGTTTTGGTGCGTTATTTATGTTGTTTAGTGTGTTGCTGGTATTAGTTTGTGATGTTGGTGTGTAGATTTGGTGGTGGTGTTGCCTGGGCTGCTGATGGTCATCGTTTTTTGATGAAGTTTTTTGTCGATGATCTGTAATAGGTTATTCAATAGCAGAAAGTGATGTAAACAAACCCATGACTGAAATGTGTTTTAATATGTTATTATTAAAAAAATTTGTCTTACACCTGTATCTGTATGTGTGCATGAAAGAAAGAAACATTTGGGGATTATATATGTTTCAAGAATTTGTTCCCAAGCCAATCATGTGGATGTCCATCGACTGGGACGGGACCACAAGTCAAAGCATAATGAATATACCTTTTTAATGCACATAGACAGGGACCACAAATGGTGCAGTTTGGGAAAAGGGACAAAAGTAAACAATATCTTTGAACACGATGCATTGTGTCTGCTTGTTTGCAAACCTTTTTTGGAAAAAAATGTAGGGAAGTTTTCTAAAGATGGACTTTTTTCATGTTGAATGGATTAAGTCACAAATATCCTGTTTTTGACAATGACTTAATTACCCCCACACCCAAAATGGTCAATTTACAATGACTTAATTACCCCCACATCCAAAATGGTAAATTTACAATGACTTAATTACCCCCACATCCAAAATGGTCAATTTACAATGACTTAATTACCCCCACATCCAAATTGGTCAATTTAATTTGTAATGACTAAAATGCCCATAAAACCCCTACATATTCGTGGCACGGGACAACAATAAAATTCCATATAACAACTTACCACACAACAAAACAACATAGTTGACCATAAAAGAACATACGTAGATCATTTGTTTATTGCAACACACATTTACTACAAATAACAAACAATTATCTAATCCGACTCCATGGTCGTTGCAAGACTGCTACCTTCACCTCCCATATTTTTTGCAAGCTTCATTTTAATGATTTTTTCTGACTTCTTTCGTTTGTTAGGCGGTTTAACATGCTTGACTTGATGAACACGAGCATTAACCTTCACCCCTTCCTCCCGTCCATTGACTCCCACCATCCGCTCTTCCTTACCAGTCCTCTCCAAAGCATCACTAGCATCTACCATTACCTCATCATCCCCAACCCTTGTGGCAACCTTTACAGACTCCTGCGTAGGTATAGTTTTTTGTTTCTTTGTTCCATTTTGTTTGGATGTCCCTACACCTTTACTACAAGTTGCCTTGTTGTGTCCTTTCTCCTTACATATACTAAAAGAAACTTTCTTCCCTGCCTTGGAGACAGTGTGTTTTCCCATCCGTTCAGAAGCATCTCTTCTTCTCTTTATTGTTGGCCTGCCTGGCATACGTCTTTTCAATGGAGGCAAAGGGGGTATCAAGTCAGTAGAAGGCCACAAATTTTTTCCATTCATACCATGGATTGGCTGTTTTTAGTATTATGGTATAATGCAGCCAAGTACATTGGATCTACATATGAACCATCAGGTGTGATATTTAAGTAGGCTAAGGTGGCAACTGAGTGTAGGCAGCCATATCCATTAAGTTGCCATAGCCTGCAACTGCATTCCTTTTTTTCAACATCAACAGTAAACGCCTCGTCCATTTTCCTTGCCTCAAACTTCACCCCCCACAAGATATGACCTGCCAATGCCTACATATATAGATGAAAACCGCAAATATCATGAGATGTGAAGAGTAAGGTAGTAATGTAATTGGATAAATGTACAAACCTTTGCTCAGTATGGAGCATATTCAACCGTATTCTGATATTTGGACAAACAAAATAACGATTCCATCCTTGTCCGGTTAGTTTCATAGTCACCATCCTTTGCATCACATATATACGAATGTCCTCTAACATGCTTATTATTGGTTTCTTCCGGGCATCCAAAATCACACTATTAAAACTCTCTGAAAAACCATTATCTACTGACTCACAAGAATTATGAACTCTGAAAAAAGCCAAAGACCAAGTCTTTGGATCTCTATCCATAAGATGCACAACTGCTTCTGGATTTAATTTTCCAATCTCTTTCATAACTACATTAAATTGTGCTTCAGTTGTTGCTTTGCTCACTTTCCAAAATAGTTTTTCAAACTTGGATCCACTAAATCTCTTTCTAAAATTCGCATAGATATGTCTAGCACACTGCCTATGTTCGGCTGCTGGAAATACTTCCTTCACTGCCTCAATCAAACCCTACATAAGTCACATTAATGTTTGAAATTAGAATAGCAATTAGTAATTTTAGAACATGCACTAGTTTTGAACCATACCTTGTGTTGATCCGAAATTAGAACCATACCATGTCCATCATTCCAACATTGCAAATCTTCTGAAAGAGTTTCTATGAACCATTTCCAATTCTCTTTGTTTTCCACACTAACAACTGCCCAAGCAATCGGGAATATTCCATTGTTAGCATCTCTACCCACAACACAAAGCAACTCCCCTTGACAAAAACTTTTCAGAAAACAACCATCCAGGTTAATGATCCTCCTACATCCTCCCCTCCATCCCTCTTTTACTGATGCAAAACATATGTATATTTTGCTGAAATAATTCTTACCATCAGGCATTGAATCAACACAAATTTTAACTGTGGATCCAGGATTTGATCTTCTAATCTCCTCACCATATGACCATATTCTTGCATAATTTTCAGCTATTGTGCCTTCAGCTAGACTCAATGCATAACTCTTGGCTCGCCTACACTGACTCATATCCTTCAGCTAGACTCAATGCATAACTCTTGGCTCGCCTACACTGACTCATACTCACATTAAGCCCAAAAGCGGTTTTTACCTCCTCTCTAACTAATCGGTCGCTCATCTTTTGATTGTTATAAAATTGGTGCTTAAAGTGGGTCCCTATCCATTTGTAAGTCACAATTGATCCGAATTTGAAATTTTTTGCACAATTATGCTCACCGATAAGAGACTTTATCTGGAGAGACTTATCATCACTCATCCAAGAACCCCAAAGCCTAAAAGTACATTTTCCATCACAGCATTTGACAAGTAATCGTCTAGTATCATTCTTCACAAAACATAATTGATAACCATTTGCGACAACATAGTTACAAAGCACGAGTTTCAATTGCTTAGGACTCTCAAACCTCATACCTAAAACAGGTTCCTGCTCCTTCCAATTGAGCTTATCATTGAAAATGTTTGGCAATTCGGGATAAACATCTTCATTGTCACCCATGTCTTCTTCTACTGCCCCACTTACACCTGCTTTCTCACCCATGTCTACCTGAATCTCATTACCCTTTATAAAAAAATGAGGCTTCTGATGGTCATCCTCATCGTCATCGACATCCTCATCTTCGTCGTCATCATCGCTGCCATTCGCTTCCTCATCGTTTGTGTCACCCACATCCCGATGCCCTGTTGCAACTTCCTTAACCAGTCCTGCACCATCAAGTACTTCTTCCTGTACGTTACCAACAAACTCGTCTTTGTGTTCATCCAACCATTCCTGTATGTTACTATTCCCAAAATGGTCTACATACATAGCGAGTGTAACACCACATTCATATGCAATTGCTATGAAGTCGTAATAATCGGGGTCATTGCAAATTAGAGTCAAACCTTTTGGAAAATCAATATCAGGTTGGCAGTAATAGAGTTTCTCACACTTTTCCCCAGTGAACCTTTCGATGAACGCAACACACCCATCCTTGTCCATTCCTGCGAAATCGATGTCCGAAAACCTCTGAGTAATTCCACCGGTGTAGCGTATAGGGTTTCTGGCGAACATTCCTTGGAAGTAGACATCTACTTGTAAGAATACAGGTTCCATGCTTGAGGATGCAGAAGCAGCTCACAAAAAAAGGTTTATCGATGAAGTGTTGAACAGTGGAGGTAAAAAGGTTCTTTTATAAAGCATATACCGACAGTAAGAAGGAAGCGACTAATTAATGACATGACATTAGACGAAAGTCACAATCAGCATCCGATGTGGTGTTAGTTGAAGGAGGTGGACTTAAAATGACCGGCTAACCCTTCACAATTGAAATAAAGACTTAATCGACCCGACAAATAGTAATTCGTTACCTTATTAAGCCACAAAATAAATTAAATGGCTAAATAGGTAAATCCTAAAAACATTATAGGCCTATACGTCAATTTCCCTGGATTCTATAAATACAAAAATCATTTTCCGGCATCGTCATTAAATTTCATAAAAGGAAGTAGAGGAGGAAGAAGAGTCCAAAAGCAGGTACAAACATGTATGCAGAAGATACAAATGTGTCTGAGTGAGTGAAACTGAAAGCGGGCCTCGTGGTAGTGGGCTCAACCGACCGGGAAACAAAGGGAATAAAGTGAACTCCGTCTGGCACATGGACTCCCGCCTACACCGGACACAAATCTCACCCCAAAAGTGACCCGATATGGTCCTCCCTTTTCTATCACTTTACATTTTCGATCCCTTGATTACCCCACTAATTTTTACTCTACATCTTCCAAATTGCCTTTATTATTTCTACTTTCAATCGTCGGCTTATGTTCAATTTTACTGACTCATTTCAATCATGATCATGAATTTTAGCAATTTTTGATGATTAAATTATAAGGATTGTTAGATCATTACCTTTGATGGATTCTTTTACTTATTATAAAAAATATCAATATTTAGTGATAAAATATCGTTCATGTTTTTTCTTCACAAAAGTAAAAGCCTATTCTTTAACACCAAATGGCCATTAGTAGGTGGGTTGGAAAGATATCACCTCCTAAATAGATGAGAGTTCAAATTCTCAGACATATGTGACACGAGACCATTAGATGTATGTTTTATCCCTTTTTGTATTCGTGAATTAACATGTATAAGTACATTATTAGAAGTTGTTGATGATCGATTAACATATATTGTGACTTCATTTGGAATATTGTGGATTGTGGAATAATACAAACAAAACCTCTTTTAAATAAAAGATCAAATGTGTACGAAACAGTAAAATCATATCCTAGACGAATCATACCAAATATACAATTGTTTATGATATATTATATCATTAAGATATTCAAGTGAGGCGTTGGAGTAAAAGTAGATAGAAGAAGATAAAACAAACGTTGCTCTTATCAAAGTTTATTAATTGCTCCGTATATAATCACGTGCTTTATCTGCCACGTTTCATCATCACATGCCACCTCAAATTTTGAGTAGTCTAGTCAACTTGTTTATTTAATTTCATAAAAAATCTTTTTCCAAATCTAAAAATATCCAACTAAAATACAAAACCATTAGTATATTATATATTCTTAAAAGTAAAACTCCGTACACAATTTACCTAAGATTGAAATTATAATGAATTTAGTTTGAAACACATAATATTTTATGTTAAAACCAACCATTTTTCATAAAATCTACGAAAACTAAACCTGAAACATGAAATAAAACTTGACAGATAGTTAAGGATAAGATAAGGTTTGTGGAAGTTGTACATACTGCATGGAAAGCTGTACAAATGAGGTAGCAATGGCGTGGTGGCTGGCTGCCATCGGAGCAGAAGCTGCAGGGAATGTGCAGAACATGCGGTACAAGTCATGCTGCTTCACTGTCCCTCACATGCTCTCTCCAACGTACAACTCTCTTCTGCATGTGCTCCTCCATGTGCATGCGCCGCTTTGCGCACTACGCACCCCTTTCACCCTGCTGGCCCATCCCTCTTTCACATGCTCCCTTTAGGGAGGCCACGCTCCCTCTATTTCACAACTAGGCCCCACACACTCCTTTTTCCTAATTTACCCCTCTCTATTTTCCAATTCTATAACCTTTTTTTTTTCTTGAATTCGGACAATTTATCATGATTTGAAATTTTATGATATGTCGCTAGCTCTCAATAAATCAACAATAGTAGCTAGGGACAAAAAAAACGATTAGCTGTTGCCTAATTCGTTGGACGGTTTTACCCATGTGCAGTCCTTTTCGTTATATTAAATAAGGTTCGACACCGATTCACGTGGAAAGCTAAGAGTCGAAATGCCTAGCTATCAATGGCAACATGAAATGTCGTTTTCGATTATGTAAGGGTAACATTGAAGAAGTTTCGAGGTCTGTTTTCATATGTTTTTATATAAATATAGTAAATTTAGATAGATATTATATGGAAAAAAATAGGAAGAGGGGTATTTTGGTAAATTGAAGATGAGAAGGACCCTATGTGATGCTTTCACATGTGCCAATTTGCAGATGAGCAGGCTTTGTAGGAGATGGGTGCCATTTTCTTCCCGCTACAAATCTTTCAAAGTCAAGTGAGATAACATATGTTTGTCGTTTTCTGCGTAATAACAGGTAATAACACGTTTAATAAATAAAAAGTAACAAAAACGTTAATATATTGCATTTTAGGTTTTGTTATAACATATAAAATGAAGAATGGCAAATTCGTAAATAATTGAGAAAACCGGAGGCAAAGGAAAAAGATCCAATTACTTAAACCCCATAACGCCCATGGCTCTTCCGTTATATGAATCACCCCACTCAAAACGGAAACGCATAATCCTCCACTCTCTCCTTCCTATCTTTGAAGCTCTTGGTTATGGGGTCCACGCCGAGGAGATTAAAGAATTTTCCGGCGAGAAAAGGATCGACGACCACAAACTACAGAAGAAGATCTAGACCTCATCATAATAAATCAACAATAACGAGGACATCTTCTGTTTCCGACAAGCTGGAGGCTCTGAAGAACCTCATACCCGCTCAGGAAAACGACAGAGCCGCTTCTACAACCACCGCTACTGCCACCGCATCATCAGCCGATCAGTTGTTTCAAGAAACTGCCGATTACATTCTCCTTCTACGCACACAAGTCTCAATTTTACAAAAACTAGTCGATTTTTACGGCTCCTCTTTCTCCTCCCTTGTACAGCAGTAATTAGTTATAACTAAAAATATATTATTATTTTTTTTTAATTTGGATCAGCGATATAATCAAAGAGAGACCTCTAATTTCTTTATCTTTTTTTTTTTTAAATTTTAATTTTATTTTGGCATTTAATTAGAGTATGAATGCGACCTTCTAGTATTTTGAAATCTTTAGTTTTTATCCGCTTGAAGTTTTTGATATGTTGATTTTGATTTGATTTGGGATTTGTATGGTTAATTGATTGATTAATTTTAAAGATTTATTAATTATTAATAAAATCGAGAAGAACGGAGGTTGGGCACACAGTGGAGGCGCATCTGTGTGTGTTTGGTGGAGGTGAAGATAACCATTAATTTTGGCAATTTCTCCTCGTTAACGGTGGATGTTGGTGGTTTGACGCGGTTGAGATACTTTGTGGGCGGCATTTTCGTTTGTGGTTAAATAATGAGTGTGTAGTTAAAAATTAAAATCTTTGTTGCTTGTATACTATGCATTACGAGTTGTTTATTGAGATTTTACTATTGCATTACAAGATGTAAATTCAGATTTTACTCGACAACTGTATAAATTATAATTGGCATACAAGTATACTTGAATACAAACATAATCTGATCTAGTGTATTATTTGGTTTGGAAACAAAAGAAATCAAAAATCAAACTGAGATCAAATTCAGACAAAACCAAATTTCCAATTCGATTTTTGGTTTGGCTTCAGATGAAACAGAATTAAAAATTTGAGTTATGGTTAGTAGCGTTCGGATCGTACAAAATAGAATTACCGAAATATGATTAATTAATTTTCTTATTAAGTAAATGTAATATTTTTTATAAAAATTACATAGAAAAAATGAAAATACATTATGATATTTTATATTTCAAAATTACATATCCAAAATATCAAAATTTGTGTTTTTTTTTTTTTTTGGAACGGCTATATGCAATATTATACTAAACTACTCCTAAATTATTCCACCTATGTTTGACATTTGAAATTTTTGATATTTATATTTAAAAATTTTGGATTTTATGTTCATAAAATTTAAACTTGTGGATTTTTTCTTATCTTAAAACTAGGTGTTTGACATTTGAAATTTTTGATATTTATATTTAAAAATTTTGGATTTTATGTTCATAAAATTTAAACTTGTGGATTTTTTCTTATCTTAAAACTAGGTGTAAGACCAATACATGGGTTTGTTATATATATATATATATATATATATATATATATATATATATATATATATATATAACATTAACCAATTATTAAAGTAATACAATACATATAAATAAAGACTTTATTGCATAAGTACTTAATTGAACCCAAATTACAAAAAAATCATTAATGAAATATTCTAAATAATTTTTAAAAATCATAAATTTTTAAATACTTCTTTGAATACAACATTAGATGTCTTATTGGTAAGGTTTCCTTCATTGTCTACAATTAATATTTTCAATCTGTCTCTGCTTTTAACTCTAGACAATACAACATACAACTATTCATGAGTAAACACTGGATGTCTAAAAAACAAACCAACATTTGATAGCGATTGTCCTTGACTTTTGTTTATTATCATCGCAAAACATACAACAAGTGGAAACTGTCTTCTCTAAAAGGTGAAATGAATCATTTTATCCGAAGGGGTCAGCAACATTCTTAGAATAAACATATGTTTTCCTATATTACTTCCATATATTATCTCTTCTTCTATAACACGCTTACCCAATGCTATAACTCACAGCCTTGTTCCATTATACAAACCGTATTTCTGGTCAATATTCCTCAATAACATAACCGGAACACCGATTTCTAATACCAATTTATGAATTGACAAACTTGAAGGTCTAAGGCCATTTAGAACAACAAGAGAGTATAAAGAGAATATGCTTTACCAGAAATTGACATTTAGCACATCAACCTTTCATTAAAACTACTACTTCTCAGTCTAACCAAATTATAAACGAAATATGATATTATTCAATATAATAAAATTGATTAAATCCCACTCAAAATATGATATTACACAGGGCAATTTGGTAATTTTTCTATGAGGGACAGTTTAAATGAGCACAAAATTATTTAACTGTTGGAAGAGACAATTTCTGTAATGTTAGTATACTACATGATGAAATGACCATACTGACCCTGCTAATACAAATTGCAAAATCTCTTTTCTCAAAGGTATCTTTAATATATTTTTATTAGATTTGAAATAAATATTTTAATGTTTTTGTTTGTCGCTCTGTCTTGCTGCAGTTGGTAGACAACCGAATTCCTTCATTCATGGTTAATGTAAATCAAGGAGAGAAACAAATGTTTGGTAAGGGAAAAAGAGGTTGGCCAGAATTGGAATTCAATTCCATTCCGATCCTTGAAATTCCAGCTCATTTGACAGATTCTGATTCCTTCCAAAACATTTTTTACGAACCAAACCTTTTGGTTTTTTGTAGGCATGGATTTTATGGATTTGGTAGAATCAACACAACACAAGAATATTCCAAAATTTGAATGTAAAGGTAACTCTTGAAAAACTTTTTGGATTCCACTTTTTGTCTTTTTTACTAAATTATGCGTTTGTTTGTAGGTGGAGACCTTCGACGTACATATAACAATTTTTTATCAAATGAGCTGGAATTTCAAGGATCGGAATGGAATTGAATTCCAATTCCGGCCAACCTCTTTTTCCCTTACCAGACATTTGTTTCTCTCCTTGATTTACATTAACCAGGAATGCATTCGGTTGTCCACCAACTACAGCAAGCCAGAGTGACAAACAAAAACATCAAAATATTTTTCTCAAATCTAATAAAAATATATTAAAGTTACCTTTGAAAAAACTGATTCAAAAGAAACTGCATATTCTGATCTAACAACAGGATACTATCATAAAGATTATGCCATCAGAGGATACCAACAACACCCACAACAATTATCAACTTATACGAATGAAATATGTATTCATAAAGAGAAAATGAAATTTTTGTGCAGTTTTGGTGGTAGAATATTGGAAAAAAGTTCATATTATTATTTTACAAGCAGATTAGTAACATACCAATGTTTTGCCATATTTAAATTATGGTGCAAGGTTTGCAGAACCAGGTTGAGTTGGAATTCCATTCCATTCCATTCCTCATATCAGGTGAATTTACAAATCAAAGATGAATCCGCAGTGTTGGAGTTGGATTTAGAATCCAATTCAATCAAAATGAAAAACATGTTTATGATTATGAGTATCAGAAAAATGATTCAAAAGAAACTGCATATTCTGATTTAACAGGAGGATACTATCATAAAGATTATGCCATTAGAGGATACCGACAACACCCACAACAATCATCAACTTATATGAATGAAATCTGTATTCATAAAGAGAAAATGATTTTTCTGTGCAGTTTTGGTGGTAGAATATTGATAAGAGAAAATGATGAGAATGTTAGGTATGTAGGAGGGGAGACACGAATCAGAAAAGCATAATGTGTATGACTACTGAACAACTATACAACTATACAACTATACATTGACAAACTAATACACACACCACAGTTACACATAAAAGATAATCATAAAAGCAACAATTTTTTTATAACTTGATTTTAGTATACGATTATGTAGGAATAAAAAATCGAAATGTAGGATAAGAAGAACAATTCTTTCAGTAATGGAAAAACATAGAAAACCTTTTTGACATTACATCGAGCATGTGATGAACATATATCAAATGGTGTTATTAGACTGTCTTTTACAGAAAGAATAAAACGAAATTGATAAGGTATACTTAAAAATACATTGAGATACTAACCTGATGTCCTCCTTAGTCTTCTTGATGCCGATTTTGCCTTTCTTCAACTTTTCACAGTGAATAAAATGTTATGGTAATAACATTATAAGAACCAAGATATAGGGAAAGGAAAATCTTTGATTGAACTGAATTTGCAATTTAATATGGAAACTAATTGAATGTAATTTTCGATTGATTGAAATATACAAACGAAAATCTTTCATTGACTGATTTGAAGCAAATCAAGTAAAAGTTTTAAAATATGAATGATTCATGAAATCAAGCTTAAATTTGTAAAGAAACAATATAACCGATGCTTGATTGTTGGAGGATCAGAACTAAATGAAAGATTGAAGACTTTCCCAATATACGTTTAAAAAAATTGGTTGAATTGCTTGATTTATTTAGTTTAGATCATATATGTTTTTTATTGGTGGCATTGTCTTATACTAACAAGTGGATATGATTTAATTGTAAATTACCACAAATTGACATTTGTCAAATTGAAGGAGGACATGTCATGTCGCAATGTTATTCTATGATAATTACTAAGAGAATACGTTGTTTAGCAATGCGGATACGTTCAAACTTACAAAAATATCATCATTTTTATGCATTTTCGCTAATTATTATTTATTTTTGTTCTCACACATCGTTTTCACTCATTTTGATTCTGACAGAATACGACTCAATAAACATTCTGACAACATTCTGACAGAAATGAGAACAATAATAATAAATGTATAATAACCTTATAGACGATTTAATTAGTGAGAATGTGTGTTAATGACAATAGTTATGTGTCGCACCCCAAACCAGACGGCGGAAACGTCCGGGGGTGGATGACTTCATTTGTAGTATCACAAGACATGCATTATAGTAATCAGAGTACAAACAACCACTGTATTTAAAAAATATAAGTATTTATATGTGTTTCATCATTGTATACTGAAACCAAAAAGTTATACAAAAGAAGAAGACAAGACATAAATAGCTTCATCTTCTCAAAAGCACGAGGAGTACCTGTCTACTGGTTCCCTGAAAATACAAGTAATTTGAAAAGAGAGTATCAACATAATGTTGAGTGAGTGCATAAGTATTTATGTTTGAATGAATGTTATCTGTTTCTTGAATAAGTAAACTGTTCCAGAAAATCTTATATTTTCTGTTGTATATGAAAAGTAGTTTTAGTTACATAAAACCGTTCTGTTTGTAAACCAATGTTCT